AAAGAGTGTGTGCCTCGCATGCTGCTCTCCACAATCTCAGTCTCACACGCCTGCATTGACACGTCCCAGGCTCCATGCAGCAGAGGGAAATTGCTGCTGACAGGGCCTTGCAAACTTTCACAGCCATTTAGAAAGACTTACTCCCACACTTTTGTCACAGGCATTTATTGCACAAGATACATGATATGAAAAATTAACATTTTTTGAACTTGGCATCCTTTTTTCACCAAGTTAGGCTTAAAAACCATTCATAATTTTTTAGCCTTGTGATCGGCTCCAGTGCAGATGTAAACACAAGACACACCAAGTGAGACCCCAAGATTATGAAAATGCACAGTTTTTCAAGGAAAAAAAATCTAACCACTACTTTATAGATTTACACCACCAGCTCCTAATCCAATAACAAATGGTGTCCATATTGCCAAAACACACGAGGATGTTTTTAAATGAGAGCAGAGGTTACTGCAGACTTACAGTACCTGTATGTCCTTGACCAGCCAGTGCCTCCAGCTGGCAGATGTTGGCTTGGTGCGACTCGGAGCATCAGGATCAACCATCACCAGAACATACATTTTCTTCTGCAAACAGAAGGAAATTCATATATTATTACTTTTAACACAAAGTGGCTTTACAGCAGTGCCACACACACCGTGATTGGCCCAGAGGCAGCTCCAGTAACAGCGGCACCTGATCCCTTTTGCTTTTTAAATGCAGCCATGTGTTGTTTGTGCATCACATTGCCCAAGGCTTGACAGCCATCTCTGCAGCTAACAATACTTTTTTTAATACTTCAAAACAGGTGCTTCACTTTACTTTTTTAACTTACTGTACCTGAAAATGCTGTAAAGAATGAATTTTATTCTGATCATAAAATTGGTGGCTTGTTTTTTTTACATAGCTGTTTTTGTGGTCAATTGAATACAGAAAACTCACAAAGTCAGTTAATACCATAAGGCTTGGTTTTCCTTTTACTGCCTTGACATGTGATCATAAGTCTTACTCCAGCTAAAAGATCAAATGTTTTTAAAAACTAACACTATACAAGATAAAAAGCATGAAATAAAACTGTCTAAAAAGGCAACGACACGCATGATAACATATACTGTAGCTGTGATAATCACAAACTACTATATTCCTTTAGCAAAAGCTCTGTCTCTTTGTTATTCCTTAAACTTGATATCATTACTGTGACATCAAAATGACAGCATTTTGGATCTGATACCAACTCCTCTCGTTAACATATTCACAGTAACTTTCTGCCACTTACCCAGTATCTTTATATGTCCCAATCTGTCAATAGATAAAGTGAGAGAAAAAACCATCTTAACTAACACTTGATCACAGTTATTGGATGTTGACTTGGCGGCTTAATTGCCGGAAAATTTTCATTCTGTCTGTCCCTAAAAGTTAGAGAATTATGAGAGCAGATTGAATTATTGCGAGAGCACATTTGTCATCCCTGGTCTGGTGCCCAAAATCTGCCAGACCATATGATGGGCTTTTTTTATTTTGTTCACTTCCTCTACAAACAGAGACATTAATCGAGGCTGTTTCAATCCACAATGTCCTCTTAGTGTATACTGTATGCACTTTCAAGTGGAGCAAAACCATGATGATATCAGCTTTAATACATATGAAACAGATGCAGTTTTTACACATTTACGCCGACTGCCAAACAACAGTATGTAAACATAAACCTTATATTTTTGTTTGTTGTGTCCTATCGAGACATTCTTAAGAGCCTCAAATATTATTCCAACTCCATGTTCTTGAATGAGATAAAGTAGTAGTCATGTATTTTTCTGCAGATGCTCATTTTCAGAAGGATTCTCTGCCTACCTGACAATCAGTAATAAGCGTAAACAACTAAGCCTAATAATAGGATAATACTGTAGTCTCAGTGAAAGCGCCTGAAGGTATCATGCAGACACACCAGCAACAATAGAGCCTCCTCCACAGCCTGTCAAAAGTGACTCTATATCAGTGACCCCCCCGGGCAGCTTACCAACCATGACCTGTTGCCTTCTCAAGAGTTGTAATCCTCATTTGTGCATGTTTGCTACCAGGCAAAGACACTGTGATAATGTAGTTACACTAATATTTAAGTCAGACCCTGATGCATTCAGAAATAACATGGTTTCAAACAACAGCACATGCACACACGCACACTAACAGGCGATTTAAAGCATTTAAATTAAAAATGACCTCCAGTCACAATTATCATTGAAAGAAATAACATTTTATGGAATATTTCATGAAAGTTACCATGGACAGAGACACATTGTATAGGACAAGTGTAGTTTTCCTAACAGCATTAAGAACATTTCACATTCATTTCCAAATGTAACAACAAAAACATATCCTACATTGCCTACATGGGCACTAAGATTTTAATGGTTTCTGGACATATTTAGTGCTCAAGTGTCTACCTGTAAGAATCTGGCTGGTCCAGCTGGCACAGGCGGCAAATAATACAAGAAGCTCCCTCCATGCTTGCACTTCACACATTGTGGCATGTACCCTTCTCTCTTACCAGGACATTTTTTTTTTCTCCATCTGTCAAAATCCACATTAATTACGCACAGATATGTGCGAAAGACTCCAGGGAAAAACAGATGCATATTCTGCCATCTGAAATAATTTCAGGGCTCAAATAAACTAAATGTATATCAAAACATGTTTTAACGGAACTAATTCTCATAGTTGAACACTGGAAGGCAAACATTTTATTAATTGTTAATTCTAATGAGGAAACCTAACATTTGAGCCTTCATAATAATTGTAAATTACATTTGCTTTTATGCTGCACTGGTGACAGATGATTTTCTATATTTTGGAGAACACACAAATGTACCTGTACCCACCCTAGAAGGCCTGTTTTATCACTACAGGGCAATTTATTCCCTTATCTAGGTAATTTTGATTAGAGTTTTTAAAGAGTGACAGGTCAGCTGCCCACTCTGTTATGTTCTGTAGGGCTTGTCAAATAATCTGAGAGCCCACAGCACAAGTGAAATCTGGGTAGGTGCCTCCAGACCTCAGAGCTCCCTGGGGCCAGGCATTACAGAGGACGTGAAGCTCCTGGGTGCAAGGTGGAGGTGTGGGATTGAGCCTGTATTCTCTTGGGATTAATCGCCCACTGTCTGCTGTGATCATGGTAAAACATCTCACTGGGATCACATCTCAGACATCAGCGGCTGGAACAAACCCTGCAGCTGGCTGGGCATCTCTGCCAGGACTACCAGTCAGTGGTAGTGACACCTTGAACTGTATACCGCCACATGATTATACACTCACCGACTGCTCTATTAGCTACAGCTGTACAACTGTATGCAATACCTCTGCCTTAACATCTGTCTTTAGAGGTGTCTCTATATTTGTGTCCTCTCTAGCTACATGCATGAAAGGGTCACAATATTAGGAACACCTCTAAATATAATGTAGTCCAGTACAACACCACCTTTAACTATGAGCTCAATAATTAACATATAATTGAATTTATACATTGATTGATTGATTCTTTCAAACATGCAGAACAGAACAATGAACAAATGACAATAACACACATGATTACACATATCCAACCAATGCTAATTCAAAATCAGTTTGCTTACACCTATTACATGTTTGAATGGAGTAGGAAGAAGTCAAACTTATCCAGTCCTACCCCATGACATCATATTATACAAAATCTATGCAACATTGGCTGACAACATTGATGACAATTCCACCAAAAACTGAAACATTTTGAGCTTCATAAACAAAGATGTGAAGGTGGAAGTGTTGCATTGAAGTGCATACAATTGTACAGGTCTGCCTATTAAAGTGGCCAGTGAGTGTACATTATAAAAATGCAGGTGCAGTTTGTTCACATACATTTTTTTATTGTTGTGTTTTCATGAGGTGACATTAAACTCCCACTTGATGCTAATAGCATTGAAAAGATACAGTATCTGAACAACAGAAGAACAAAGGCAGAGGAAGACCAGTGTCTGAGTATGTAAACTACTGGCTTACCTTTTAGTGAACTCTGCTGGGGATGAGAATCAGAGAGATTTCTAATTGCTGCTCTCATAGAGCTGCCTGGGCTATCTGCTAACTGATGACACCATGAAGGGCGAGAATGAGTTACAGCGAGAAAGAGGGAGGGAGGAGAGATCCCTCTGTGAGTTTACAAGTTCATGCTTTATCCCTGACCCAATACCAAACAATGTCGTTCATGCAGCCTCCTATTAATATACCCTGTTGCTTTATCCTCCTGCTTTTCAGCTCCTTCAGCCTCTACGCTCAAAACCCACCAAGTTTCAGTAAATGGTCAACTGTGCTCACCAGTCAACCCCAAGCAACACAACGCATCGATCCCAAATCCCTGTTTTAAGTAGCAAAAACACTTGAACTCGCTTGGTAATTAACAGGTATCTGTGTTGTGATTAAGAGACAGCGATGGCTTAAGTACCATCAAGGGCATCTTAAAGCAAGGCTGAAAGATTTATCTGTTAATACAGAAAAACAAAATCTCTATATGGCTATATTAGTAATTTAATCTCAAGTGCAATTTCATTGTATTTGCAGCCAAACAGTAGATTGATTTTAAATTATATGGAATATTAAATTTGTTTCAAATGATGAATTCATAAAGAAAAAAGTGGACTTTTATACTAAGGACAAAGCAATAAGGTGATAAGGAGGGGCAGAAGAGTTAGTAATGGAGAAGGTTAATGGTGACACCACCATCAGGGTCAGAAGATGAGGTTCATCTTGGTGGAGGGGAGGTCAGGGGTCAGCCAGGCAGCAGTAATTGAATCCTGACCAGAGAGTGGGGGGCCATAGACTCAAAGATGAGATGGAGATAGAAGAGGGGCCATGCCATTCACCTACAGGTCACCAACCTTACCCCTCCCCCAGAACCCCCACCCTCATTCTGCCACCTCTCATCTGCAGCTTTGAAACCTCATTGTTCCTCACTGCAAGCAGCATTACAAAACCTAATCGTGAAGAGCTGACCGGAAATCTGCCACAGAGGAATTGAGTGAGGAAGACCCTGTGAATTTCAGGGAATCTAGACAACCAATATTTTATTTTTCTAGTGATAAAAAGGTCTTGTTATGATTATGAATACAAATGCCAGCTTAGAAACCTAGAACTGTTGCATGATCAACAGGTTTAAGAGCGGACGACAGGTGGATGAATGGGTCTTTCAAAACATACACGACCACTCATACAGGTCCATTTAAATGGTTCAGGTTAGCTATGTAGCTAGCTTGCCAGCAAGCTAGTCGAGCTATTGTCACCCAAAACATAACATTAGCAGTTAACGGCTAACAGCTGGGGAGGTGACTGTGATTCAGTGGGTAGAGCAGTCGTCTCCCAACCTGAGGGTTGAAGGTTTGAATCTCGGTGCCTACAGTCCACGTGTCGAAGTGTCCTTGGGCAAGACACTGAACCCCCAAAGTTGCCCCTGATGGTTAGAGCCATCAGTTGAGTTGGCGCTGCAGGTGGCTGCCATCGGTTCTGTACCAGAAACAAATTCCTTGTGTGTAACATAGTTGGCCGATAAAGGTGATTATCCTTATCCATT